ATTTTAGCTGGCCCGGTCTTCACTGATGTCGGGTCCTCCCATGTTTATATGGAAGGCCTTGGGCCAGCTCACCGTTCAGGTGGGGGTGTAGGCCACGAACCTTAATTCTTCGAGTTAGGGGGGGGGGGGGGGGGTCTACCCCAAGCCCTAAATCCGGCCTTTGGGGGGGTACAGCTTTCTGTCAGGAAGGCGAGATGTTCATGTTCAGTGATGGCAGCGATGATGCCGATGTGATAATTTGAAGACTCCTGCCCTTGATGTACAGAGACCTGCAGAGAGTTTGACTTCCAAGTGCACTGTTCGGTCTGGAAGCCAAGAGGCCACCTAACTAGACTCAGCCCTACCGCCCGAAGCCCTCAGCGCCCTCAATCTGAGATTAACCTAGGCCTAAACAAGCCCCAAGCCCTAAACCCTCCCAAACCCTCCTAAACCCCAAGCCCGAAGCCCCAAACCCTCCTAGGGCCGAAGCCCGAAGCCCTAAGCCCTAAGCCCAAAACCCAGACCCTGAACCCTAAACCCTAAACCCTAAACCTCTCCTAACATAAAATTATAAACGTTAATGGTATTCGTGGGCAAGGCCCAAAAACTCGTGGGCAAGGCCCAAAAGTTCGTGGGCAAGGCACAAATCCGGATTTTTTTGCCTAAGGCCCAAAAACAAGGCCCAAATATTCGTGGGCAAGGCCCAAAAACTCGTGCGCAAGGCCCCAAAAACTCGTGGGCAAGGCCCAAAAACTCAAAAAAAATCGTGGGCAAGGCCCAAAAACTCAAAAAAAATCGTGGGCAAGGCCACGTGGGCAAGGCCCGGCCTTGAGCCCCTAAACCCTTGAGACCCTAAACCCTTGAGACCCTAAACCCTTGAGTCCCTAAACCCTTGAGCCCCTAAACCCTCGAGACCCTAAAACCTTGAGCCCCTAAACCCTTGAGACCCTAAACCCTTGAGACCCTAAACCCTTGAGACCCTAAACCCTGGAGTCCCTAAACCCTGGAGTCCCTAAACCCTTGCGAGCCCCATTAGTTTTGTTGTTGAGCCGTCCTAATAATAAGAAGAAATTTTGTATTTCTTAATGTTGCGCTGAACACAAGTGGGGAGGGGGGGGGGGGGGCTAAACCCTAAGCCGATGCCGGGGTCTGAAGTTGGGTTTAGGGTTTAGGTTAAGGGTTTAGGGTTTAGGGTTTAGGGTTAGGGTTTAGGGTTAGGGTTTAGGGTTTAGGGTTCAGGGTTCAGGGTTTAGGGTTTAGGGTTTAGGGTTTAGGGTTTAGGGGTTTAGGGTCTTCGGGGTATGCGTTACAGCTATATGGCTTAGTGTTGCTTCCGTTAATGCAGACTTGAACAGCATGTGCGCTCTTTGACGTGCCCACGCGGCCCTTATGCAACTGCCCTTTCCCTTTGCCACCATCAAATGTACTACATATGATTGCCTAAACCCTGAACCCTAAATCCTAAACCCTGATCCCGTTCAGTTCTCCAGACTCTTATTGTTCTGACAACTTACTTCAGATTCCTTAACGGCAACTTTGCGGACTCCCGCGGCTTTGCTACCATTTGCCTAAGAACCCCCCCAAAAAAAGAACAGCAAAAACAAAAACAAAGCAACAAAAAAAAAAACATGAGGAGCAGACGTTTTGGGGGGTTCTTCGGCAAATAGCAGCCTGTTCATACTCAGAAGCGCGCTGGGCCGAATTCGTTGGGGAGCTGATGGCGGATGGCCATCACTACAGGTGTGTTTCACCTTGCGAGCCAGACCACCGGAAGCCGCCCAAGGGTTTAGGGATTTAGGGGTTTGGGGTTTGGGGGTTAGGGTTTAGGGTTTAGAGCCTAGCCTAAACCCTAAACCCTAAACCCTTAACCCTAAACCCTAAACCCTAAGCCCTAAACCCTACACCCAAAGCTCAGAGCCAGCGACAGATCAGCCCAAGCTAACGGCTTAGAGTTCGGGATTTAGGGTTTAGGATTTGGGGTTTAGGGTTTAGGGTTTGGGGTTTAGGGTTTAGGGTTTGGGGTTTAGGGTTTAGGGTGATTCCGACTCCGACCTGTTCTTGTCCGCAACCTGCTCTGCAGCGGCCCTCGGGGCTGGCTTGATTCTTCAAATTTCAAGACTGGGGTTGATTTGGGGGTCTCCTAAGCAGGGTTTAGGGTTTAGGGTTTAGGGTTTGGGGTTTGGGGTTTGGGGTTTCGGGTTTCCGAAATTCGGGGTACTCGTACCTTTTGGGGGTCCTGATTATAAGGGGTTCCTATTATTTGGGGACTGTATTGGGGTCCTTTGTTTTCGTAAACCCCCATGTGTTTTTTTTAAAGTTCCATATGGGCCCTGGTAAATCCAATCCTAGACCCTAAGCCCTAAACCCTAAACCCTTGGTAACAAAAACCGGAGCAGAGCCTGAACGTTAGTTTTGGTAGCCCTTGGTACCCTTTTCCTTTTTTTTTGAAGGTTCCCTTTAAAGTAACCAACCCAAAAAAGGGTGCCCTTAGTATAATATGGTTACTGGGCTACCAAGTCAAGTATCCCTAAACCCTAAACCCTAAACCCTAAACCCTGAACCTTAAGCCTTAAACCCTAAACCCTAAACCCTAAACCCTAGACCCTAGACCCTAGACCCTAAACCCTAAACCCTAAACCGTTTTTAGCCCGTCCCCCCCTTTAAATTGACCCCAGCAGATCGCACACCCGCAACAGGGTGAGCCCGGGAAGTCAGCCTCTGCTCGGAGGGGTTCATCTGGGGTAAGACCCTAAACCCTAAACCCTAAACCCTAAACCCTAAACCCTAAACCCTAAACCCTAAACCCTAAACCCTAAACCCTAAACCCTAAACCCTAAACCCTAAACCCTAAACCCTAAACCCTAAACCCTAAACCCTAAACCCTAAACCCTAAACCCTAAACCCTAAACCCTAAACCCTAAACCCCCCGGAAAGTAAACCCTATAAACCCCCTATAAACCCTATAAACCCTATAAACCCTATAAACCCTATAAACCCTATAAACCTATAAACCCTATAAACCCTATAAACCCTATAAACCCTATAAACCCTATAAACCCTATAAACCCTATAAACCCTATAAACCCTATAAACCCTATAAACCCTATAAACCCTATAAACCCTAAACCCTAAAACCTGAAACCCTAAAACCCTAAACCCTAAAACCCGAAACCCTAAACCCTAAACCCTAAACCCCTAAACCCTAAAGCCCTAAACCAACGCTAAGCCCTAAATCGCTTTAGGAAGTTGAACCCCGTTACAGCCCTGTGGAACTCATGGAAATTGAAAGCTCCCCCCCCCAAAGTGCCCCCAGTCATGCGTTTCAGCAAGTAGGGATGCGTCCTAGAACTCTGTGCGGACGGCTTGTGCTTAAGGTGTCTTTATCCCCAGGTAACTTCAAAACCCTAAACCCGAAACCCGAAACCCTACACCCTAAACCCAAAACCCTAAACCCTAAACCCTAAACCCCCAACCCCCAAAGCCCTAGACCCAGCCATGAACCTCCCAGTGGCTTGCGCCCCGGCAAAGAAAGAGCTGCGAGAGTCGTGGGCCCGAAGCTTCAGTGTTGACTTCAGTCCTTCCGGGCTTTAGGCCTAGAGCCTAAACCCTAAACCCTAAACCCTAAACCCTAAACCCTAAACCCTAAACCCGAAACCCGAAACCCTAAACCCTAAACCCCAACCCAAATCCCCAAAAGCCCCCAGGCCTCCAAGCTACCAGAATCTGAAGCGATGGGCTCGGACCCGTAGCCTCCTCTGGGCAGTTGTTTCGGGATGTGGGGCTCAGGGTGTCTAGGGATGTAGTGCTTGAGGGCTTGAGGGATTCAGGGTTTTCGGATTTTGGGTTTTTAGGGTTTTGGGATGTATGGTTTAAACGGTCCCCCCCCCCAAGACGCCTCGAGGTGAGGGGAGGGGATTTCTCGCCTCCCCTGTCTCTGAGTGAGGAGTGGGTCAGTGGAGTCTAAACCCTAACCCCTAAACCCTAAAACGCCCAAAGACCAAACACACAACACGGAACCCTAAACCCTAAACCCTACAGCCTCTAAAAACCAAAAGCAAAAAACTAAACCATCCATTGCCCGACTCCTCGCCGAGAGTCAGCGGGGTGCGCGGCACGACGCGTGCGGGCCAGCCGAGAAAGCGTTCCAAGCCCGAAACCCCGAAGCTCGAATTGATGTAGGGCACGGAGTTTTGGGTTTAGGGTTTAGGGTGGATCTGCGATATTCTATTTGCATCTCGATCCCCAACCTCAGCCTTAAGGCGCTTTGGTCTCCAACAGAGGGGGGTGCAGGGTTTAAGGTGTTAGGGTCTTGGGGGGGCCTAGTAAAACCCTAAACCCTAAACCCTAAACCCTAAACCCTAAACCCTAAACCCTAAACCCTAAACCCTAAACCCTAAACCCTAAACCCTAAACCCTAAACCCTACTGTAGACAGTAGACCCGAGACCCTAGACCCTGGACCCCAGATCCCCAATCGCGAAAGCCCTCCTTGGCGTTGCCACCACGGCTCCAGGTCCGACGCCATGGGGCTCATAGAAGGGTTTGGGGTTTAGGGTGGGGGATTAGGGGTTTAGGGGTTTAGGGGTTTAGGGGTTTAGGGGTTTAGGGGTTCGGGTTTAGGGTTTAGGATTTATGGATATGGTTATGGGGTTTCAGGGTTTTAGGGTATAGGGTGGGGTTTCAAAACGGCTTTTATCGGGGTTTCTAGACTTTTAATGGATGGCTTAGAGGAGTTGGAGGGTGTTTTAGGGAGTTTGGGAAATAGTGTTTAGGGTTTGGGTGCCTATGTAAACCCTTAGCAAGGGCTATCCAGGGGCATGCCAAGTACCTAATTCCATGAATTACCACCAAGAAGGAACATGTGTGGAAATGTCTATTTTGTCATAGCTTTAGCGCTGTTGGCGCCTTAGACGGTACAAGTTCGCTAACCCGAATTCAACCGAGCCTTCTACACACCCGACCACCTCGATTAATTTCCCGTGCGTTGCTTGCAGATGCGTCCACAAGAGACCCTGCGAGAGAATGCTACAGACAGGGAGAAGTGGCCTTGAGCTTGTCCTGCTGCTTGTTGGGCTTGTCGGCGTGTCCTCACATGAAGTGGTTGACATGTGCGGCCAGCTCAGGGATGGATTGGGTGCTGTCGCCTGTGCTGACGTGCTGCAGTGGGGTGCCAAAGGCTTCCGTCTGACCGGGACCTTGACTGAGCCCTTGAGGTATGCGGGCCTGGGCTTTGATGACAACATTGCGGGAGGAGCTACGCCTGGAGCCATGAACGTCTGCATGCTGGCTGCGTTTGGCAATGGCGGGGTTATCCCCGAAAGCTGCGTGCCGACAACGGGAACGGCGGCCGACGAGTGGAACGGGCGCCCGGAGATACACTATTTTGGCATGCTCGGCTTCGACTGCGGCTTCAATTTTCGAGCCTTTGCGGCCGGAGAAAGCATCAACTGGGACTTTCCAACGGGGAACACCTGCGTTGGAGACGTGGATCTTGATGTGGGGCTGACTTCGCTGACTTGCATGTTCGACATGGCTTGCGAACTTGGGACCACGACGACCACCACAGCCGCCGAGAGGACCACCACGTCCACCACCACCCTCTCTGTGTCAACCAGCGCCACAGGAACCACGACTTCCGCCACGACTTCCCGAACCGTGTCCTCCTCCACAGCCTCTACATCCACCTCAGCAACGGCAAGGTGGACCACCAGCACCAGAACCTGGACACAAACAACCCTCACAGCGACATCCTCTACGTCATCCATCACCGCGACTCGCACATCTCAGACCCCTACCTCCTCAACGGCGACCTTCTCACCGACTCCCACACTGACGGCCACAACTTCAGCAACCTGGACCTCCACAATCACAGCAACTGCGACTGACACCACGAGCACTGCCTCGATAACCAGCACCTCCGGCACCTCCAGCACCTCCACCACCAGAACCACCACAGCAACGGCAACATCCACGTCTGCCTCGCTGACCCGCACCCCGCTCATGTCCGTTCCGACAACTTCCGGAGCGCTCGTGGCCCAATCAAGCTCCGCGCAAGCCTCCACGACCTGGACGCCAGATGAAGGCAACGAAACGGAGCTTTGCTTGGAGGTTCCCCTGGTGCAGCTGGGTCATTGTTCAAAATCATTTTAGATGCTTACGAGTACTTCCTAAACCCAATAAGGGACCAAAAGTGAGCATTTTTAATAGCTTTTATAAGTACTTAAACCCAATAAGGAACAACAAATGACCATTTTTAATAGCACCCCCCCAACAATGGCGCAGGCAAAATAGTGCCGACTTGACGTACTGCTGGGGCTTGCCGCATGGCTCGGCGTGCGATGTGCGATGTGCGGACGGCTACGCGCGGGACGCGAATGCTAGCCTCGCTGTTTGCCAGGAGCCTTTTACAGGGTAAACCCTAAGCCCTAAACCCTAAACCCTAAACCCGAAACCCTAAACCCTAAACCCTAAACCCTAAACCCTAAACCCTAAACCCTAAACCTAAACCCTTAATTCTTAAATCCTGCCTGACCTTAGAAGCTCACTACCCCTGATATCAGGTTTGCGAGGTCGGGGTAACTTGTTATTGGGTCCTTACTATACAGGAATCCGATTATTTGGAAGGTTATATTCCTGTAAACCCTCAACCCAAAACCATAAATCCAAAGCCCTAAACCCAAAACCCAAAACCCTAAACCCTAAACCCTAAACCTTAAACCCTGTACTATATTAGGCCCCCCTCCCCCCCCGCATGTGACCCAGGATGGAGTCTGGCAGATCCAAGGCGAATGCCTCCGGGAGGGCTTGGAGGTGGTCCAGAGCGCCGCAGTGCAGGTGCTGCTACAGGCTCCGGACTTTTTTGTTAGAAATGTTTTTGTGGGAGGGGGGGGGGGGTTTCGGGGGCGTGGCTCCTAAAGCCTTAAATCCCATACCCCAAACTCTAAACCCGAAACCTTAAACCCGAAACCCACTTTGTCTTCCCCCTCCTCCCAAACCCGCTGCGGGTTGGGCAACGGCTTAGGCTTTGGGCTTGAAGAGGTTTAGGGTTTAGGGTTTAGGGTTTAGGGTTTGCCAGTGCAACTGGCGGCGCCCCGGTCAACTCAGCAGGTAAATCCCACCCAAAAGCCCCCCCCCCCCAGGAACCAAACCAATTTGCCAATATGTTTAAAACTCGGCTTGAGGTGGCTTGCAGGTGGAAACAGATTTGTTTTGAAAAGGCTTTGAACAAATACTCTTGTTTTACAACATCGCCTTGCCTCTGATTGCCCCTTCCCCCAAACCCCACCCAACCCCAGATTCCCAAGCCCGATTTGAAACCCCGGGCCCCTTGTTTCCCAACCCGATTTTAAACCCCGAACCTCTTCAAAACAGGTTAAACCCAACAAAACCCACCCCCGAGCCCCATCTAACGATCGTTTGAGCTATTTTTGTTTGCGAGGCAACCGTGAAATCTTTCGTTAACAGCAACATTCTGCGCTGGCGCATCAGGGCGAAGCCCTAAACCCTAAACCCTAAACCCTAAACCCTAAACCCTAAACCCTAAACCCTAAACCCTAAACCCTAAACCCTAAACCCTAAACCCTAAACCCTAAACCCTGAAATCTAGGGGTGGGGGCTTGGCCATAGAGCAGCAGGGTCGGCTCCGGCTCACTGGGCTTAGAAAGGTTACATGGGGTCAAGGATGCAGAGGGATGTAATGTAATGTAATGTAATGTAGTGTAGTGGAATGTAATGTAGTGCAGTGTAATGTCGCGTAATGTAGTGTAATGTAATGTAGTGTAATGTAGTGTAATGTAGTGTAATGTAGTGTAATGTAATGTAAGGTCATGTAATGTAATGTAATGTAATGTAATGTAATGTAATGTAATGTAATGTAATGTAATGTAATGTAATGTAATGTAATGTAATGTAATGTAATGTATGCGTATATATATATACACATACAGATAGGTTGGTAGCGTATGGTTGTATAAGGTATGAGGTCATCCAGGGCTATGAGGTTTGGGGTTGCTGGGGTGGCTAAGCGCTGCAGGTGTCCCTGGACTTGCCAAAAGCAACTCGGCTTTTCCTGAAACGAGGCTCAGGGCCTCAGCTTGACAATGGGTTTAGGGTTTAGGGTTTGGGGTTTGGGGTTTGGGGTTTAGGGTTTCGGGAGCATGGTTCTCACGGTCTTAGGGGTTTGGGAGATTTTTGTTTGGCTGGGGGTGGCGGGGAAATTGGGGAAACCCAGGCCACTGCGGTGCCCGGGAGTCCTTGAAAGCCGGCACAGGTATCAGGGCTTAGGGCTTAAGTTTGAGGGTTGCATGCATAGGTTGTATAGGGTTATATAACCAGGTGGTTATATGGGGTTAATATGGGGTTGTATGGGGTACTTTGGGCTTATGTGGGTGTTTTTCGTGTCCGGGTCTCGGGTGACATAGGGTCATTCAGGGTTAGGGTTCCCTGTCCATGGCATACGAGACCCTAAACCCTAAACCCTAAACCCTAAACCCTAAACCCTAAACCCTAAACCCTAAACCCTAAACCCTAAACCCTAAACCCTAAACCCTAAACCCTAAACCCTAAACCCTAAACCCTAAACCCTAAACCCTAACCTAAACCCTAAACCCTAAACCCTAAACCCTAAACCCTAAACCCTAAACCCTAAACCCTAAACCCTAAACCCTAAACCCTAAACCCTAAACCCTAAACCCTAAACCCTAAACCCTAACTGGACCAGCCTAGGCCGAGCGTTATGTTCTGTCTCCCAAGGCCTGGTCAACTGGGAATGAGGGCTGGGCGTCCTAAACCCTAAGCCCTAAACCCTACACCCCAAACCCTAAACCCTAAACCCTAAACCCCAAACCCCTGAACCCTCACCTTAAAGCCAACCCTAAGCCCAAACAACACCTAACTCGAGTCTTGGCTTTTCGCGCTTAGGCAAGCAACTACAGCACCAGCCTCCGCTGGGCCCAGACGCACGAGGATGCGCTGTACTGGGCCTTTGCCAGGACACTTAGGGTTTAGGGTTCAGGGTTCAGGGTTTAGGGTTTAGGGTTTAGGGCTTAGCGCTTCGTGTTTAGGATTTAGGGTTGAGGCTCTAAACCCTAAGTCCTAAGCCCTAAACACTAAACCCTCACTTGTCCCGTTAAGCCAAGTAGCCAAGCATGGGGTTTCAGTCTCAGGTTGGCGGTGGGGATTTCGGGCTCAGGCCATCCCAAGTGCGGGGATGAATGAAGAAGGTTTAGGGTTTAGGCTTTAGGGTTTCGGGTTTAGGGTTTCGGGTTTAGGGTTTCGCCTTGCATGCGCTTGCAGGCTGAGACCTACCCTACACCCCAAACCCTCAGCTAATATAGGTGTCGGAATAATCATTACTAAGAGCATCCTTTTCCGGCGCTTATACTCCAGTAGCCCCCAAAAGCTTGTTCGAAGTATTAAGGCCCCATAGTATCCCTAAACCCTAAACCCTAAACCCTAAACCCTAAACCCTAAACCCTAAACCCTAAACCCTAAACCCTAAACCCTAAACCCTAAATAAACCCTAAACCCTAAACCCTAAACCCTAAACCCTAAACCCTAAACCCTAAACCCTAAACCCTAAACCCTAAACCCTAAACCCTAAACCCTAAACCCTAAACCCCTAACCCCAAACCCTAAACCCTAAACCCTAACCCCAAACCCCAAACCCTAAAAACCCAAACCCTAAACCCTAAACCCTAAACCAAGCGAGGACGCTCGCGGTGCATCCCTCTGAGCTGCGTCTGGAGCTCCAGCCGGCGGCCCTCCCGGGTTCGCGCGCGGCTGCGGTCCTCCGTGCCTGGGGTTTGGGGTTTGGGGTTTAGGGTTTTAGGGTTTAGGGTTTAGGGTTTAGGGTTTAGGGTTTCGGGTTTGGGGCTTAGGGTTTAGAGTTCAGGGTTGAGGGTTTAAGGTTTCGGGTTCAGTCTTTTACATTCATGTGTGTTTTCGGTTTGTTTTGTTTTTTGTGGGGGGGGGGGGGAGGGGGGGGCTTTTAGGGCTCCTTGGGGCGGGGGGTCAGGGTTCCTTCAGGGGCTTCGGACTGTGGGTTCTTCAGGGTTTAGGTTTTAGGGCTATGAGCCCTGAGACCCTCAAACCAATATTTGAACCGTAAACTCGTTAAATCCTAAACCCCAAACCCGAAACCACAAACCCCAAACCCCAAACCCCAAACCCCTAACCCTAAACCCTAAACCCTCAACCCTAAACCCTAAACCCTGAGCCCTAAAGGTGGTGGCCTTTGCCGTACGCCTGACCGCGCTCGTTGAGGGCATCTCAACTGGGCTCGGATTTGGCTTGGGCCCGGGGGGGGGGGAGTTTAGTTTGGGGTTTGGGGTGTTTAGGGTATTTTGGGGTTTAGAGCGTTCGGGGATGGGGGTTTCGGGACTGCGGGTTCAGGGACTTCAGGCTTGGGGAAAACATCGAGGAGCCTGGACCGTTTTTAAGGTTTTCTTGTTCAAAAATATCATTTTATCCCTCAAATTACCAGCTAAACCGTATCCTCCCCCACCCCCCCACCCCTTTGTATGCTTCTAGGCTTGCTGGACCCTAAACCCGAAACCCTAAACCCTAAACCCTAAACCCACAACCCTGAACCCAAAACCCTAAACCCTAAACAACCCTAAACCCACAACCCTGAACCCTAAACCCTAAACCCTAAACCCTAAACCCTAAGTTCTTGCTCTCTCACCTTGAAGATGGCCCTTGGTTTTGCCTCACATGGCATCTATTGGGGCAGGTGCCCTCCCCCCGTGCTCCCCTTCGTCGTTTTTGCCACAGTCCTTGCAGTCCCCTCCTTGTTTTCTTTTGCCGCGTCTCTTGGGTGGCTTGTGTGCCCCTCACCCGCTGCCCTCATCTTGTGGGTCTACCTGTTTGTCCGTCTTCCTCTCTCTGTTTGCGTGCGTATCTGTCTCTGCGTCTGTCTCTGTCTCCATATCTGTCTCTGTCTCTGTGCCTTTCTTCGTGTCTTTCTTTGCGGCTGCCTCCGCGTCCGCCTTTGTCTCTGCCTCCGTGTCCATCTCTGTGTGTGTCTCTCCATTTCTGTGTCTGTGTCTGTGTCCGTGTATGTTGTGTTGGGCTTCTTTCTTTCTTTTCACCTGTTCTCTTTCTCTCTCTCTCTCTCCCTCCCTCCCCTCCCTCCCTCCCTCCTTCCGTTTCCTCCTTCCCTCCCACTCTCTCCTCCCTCTCTCTGTCCTCTGGGGTGTCGGCTGCTGCTAGCCGTTCCTCCTCTTCCCAAGCCCCTAAACCCAAAAACCCAAACCCCTAAACCCCATCCCTAGACCCCGAAACCCCTAAACCCCCCTCGCCCCTACACCCCCGTTCAACCCTGAGCCCCCGAAATCCTTAAACCCTAAACCCTAAACCCTAAACCCTAAACCCTAAACCCTAAACCCTAAACCCTAAACCCTAAACCCTAAACCCTGAGCCCTGAGCTCCTTGGTTTTCTAGAAGCATTCGAGGTGCGGACCTGGACGTGACGGCCCGGGAGCTCGAAAGCCTCTCCGCGGCGCAGGAGGGGATTCTTAGTTGTTTGGTTCTTTTGAATATTGGGTGTAGGTGTTTAGGGTTTAGGGTTTAGGGTTTAGGGTTTAGGGTTTAGGGTTTAGGGTTTAGGGTTTAGGGTTTAGGGTTTAGGGTTTAGGGTTTAGGGCTTAGGGTATAGGGTTCAGGGTTCAGGGTTCAGGGTTCAAGTCCCCCCCACCCGAGAAGTGGGGTTGACAGGCTTTAATTTAAGGAAGCGTGGGGGCAACTGCAGGCGGCCAGGGAGGCTCAGGCGGGCAACTGTCAGAATGCCGCCTTACCAGGTACTTGGAGGTTCATGGTACTTATTGACCAATTATAGCTGTGCTTATAACTGTACGTATGACCCTATTAAGGCACTTAGGCAGTCGCAGGCGGCAACAGTACTAATGTTGCCTGAAGACGCAGGGCAGGGAGGCTCAGGCGGGCTTGTAGTAGGCAGGGCATGGAGGCGCCGAAATGTTGCCTGAGCACCGGAATGCAAGCCATGGGTTTTAGGGACAAAGGGGCAATCTAGGGATTGGGGTTTGGGTTATTGGGGGTCTGATGTTTCGGGGTGTGGAAGGGTTTAGGTTTTCAACGTTTTTTTCGTCAAATATCGGTGTATACAGTACGGTTTAATTAGTAAGGGTTTACTTAGGGTGTATGTTGGGGTTTGGGCTTTAAACCAAGCACCCCGAACCCAGGGGCCCAAGGGCCTGAAGGCTGCTGAGACAGGGTCGCCGCGTGGTACCCTGAACCCTAAACCCTAAACCCTAAACCCCAAACCATGAACCCTAAACCCCAAACGCTGCCTAAACCCTAAACCCTGAACCTTCAAAGGCTCAACTACTTTACTTCGAATATCCCCACCCTCTCTTGCACGCCAGGCAGACACTGGGGCTGACTGTGGGGTTGGGCACTCCAGGGAGACTCTGGGGAGGCTCTGGGGTTGGGCACTCCAGGGACATTCTAGAGATGGGCACTCCAGGGACATTTTGGAGTTGGGCACTCCAGGGATGAAGGAGGAGTAGACTGGGCGAGGAGAAGAGTTCTGGGCGAGGAGAAGAATTGAGCTTTTTTTTCAAACAGCCCCACACCGAAGGTGGGGAAAAAACCCCTAACGCCCTTCACTCCTCCTTCCCGATACGTAGAGCACAGGAGATGGATGTCTTTGCCTCTGCCCTGGCGGAGGAGCTGTGCCGGGGCCGAGAGCCCTTAAGCCTTTGACCTAAACCTTAGAAACCCTAAGCCCTGCAAGCCCTAATTATAATTAAACCCTCTAAACCCTATATGTAAGCCCTGTAAACCCTGTAAACCCTGTCCACTAAAACCCTGAAAACAAACTCATAAACCCTATAATCCCACAAACCCTATATATATATATACACACCCGATAGACCCTAAACCCTAAACCCCAAACCGCCAAGCCTTGATCTGAGGTGCTCCATTGGAGGTTCAGGCTACAGAGTAACCCAATTATAAGCTTAGTAGCTGAGTGAGTACACTTTACACTTTTTGGGATACGATGACCCCCTATAGAACTGAAAGTGTACACTTTTGGGGGCTTATGAACTCCGCAACTACGTAAGTGTAGTTATAACTACCCCACTTATTCTAAGCCCCTTAAGTACCCTAATGGGGTTAATAATTGGGTTAGAAGTGCAGTTCAAATTGGGTTTTAAGCACAGTTATAGTTACTACGTACCATGAACCTCCAAGTATAGAGTCTAAACCCCTAAACCCCTAAACCCTAAACCCCAAACCCCTAAACCCTAAACCCCTATAGTCTTTCTAAGAGACTCCAAGGAATCGTTCAGCCGCCCAATGATGGGGTTTTTCGGGGTTTTCAGCTCGGAGCTCGGGTACTCAGACCCTAGACCCTGAACCCGAAACCCTAAACCCTAAACCCTAAACCCCAAACCCTAAACCCTAAACCCTAAACCTTTTCCGTCAAAGCATAGCACCTACGGGGAAAAAGCTCAGGTATTCAGACTCTGGAGTGGTCGGCAACATCTCTGCCACGGCGTCTGTGGGAGCCGTGGCTACGATCGAGCGCTACGTGCTGCCGGCGCCTTCCTGGTGGGTCGCGGGCTGAGGGGTTGTGAGGGTGTAGGGGGAGGGCTTTAGGGGGTTCGGGTCTAGGGCTTAGGGCCTTATGAGGGTTTATTAGGGTTTAGGGTTTATTAGGGTTCAGTTGGTTAGGGTTTAGGGTTTAAGGACTTGCATTCCTAATCCTGGCATTTCAGTGCTTGGGCTTTGGGGGCTTTCGGACAGAGGATGTAGGGAATGGCATGGAACGTCCCAGAAGCCACTTTGCAGGCTTGTCCATCAGATGCGCAAGAACAAATACCTTGTACATGCTTACGCTTTGGCACTTGGGGCTTTAGGCAAGGCGAAGGCCACGGGATCGAATTGAACATGCTGACTGTCGGAGACCCTGGATGAGTGTGCAGAAACCTCTGCGACTGTGACTTCGCGCACGGGGCCCGCAGTTGCCGTCAATCTGCACCCTGGTGTTCGCCGCAGTCTCCTGCCGGGCATCAGCAGACTGCTCGTGCCCTGGGATTGATTGGGTGGCCATCAATCCGTTCTGGCTGGTGCAAACCCTAGGCCCTAAGCCCTAAACCCTAAACCCTAAACCCTAAACCCTAAACCCTAACCCCTATGTTGGAGTCTCTGCGGCGGCTATCGTTTGGGATCTCTTTCACCGATGGATGGCGGACGAGTCTTTTTATGCCGGTTGTTGGCACAGAAAGCAATGAACTCGGCCCTGCGTTTCTAAACCCTTAACCCTTAACCCCAAACCCTAAACCCTAAACCCTAAACCCTAAACCCTAAACCCTAAACCTGAACCCGAAACCTGAACCCTGAACCCTGAACCCTGAACCCTAAACCCTATTCCCCAAGAGTCGGCCGTGCCAATTCCTGCTGCCTTCTGCAAGCTTTACGCCGGAAGAAGCCAGAGGCTCGAATACCCGGCCCCTTAGTCAAGGAAGATCCATAAATACCAGAGGGTTTCAGGGCTTTCGCCAACAGCCTACCAACCCCAAAACCCCAAACCCTACACCCCGAACCAAAAAACTCCTACACCCCAAACCCCTATCCGGGCCCTTATTATGTGTAGAGTATATAAGGGTTATATAACAAGGGACCAAAATTGAGGGCCCATACCGGTAACCTTAGACTGCACCCCAAAACCCTAAAGCGCGAACCAAACCCCCCAAACCCTACACTTGCCCTATACCCTGCACCCTAAGCCCTAAACCCTAAAACCTAAACCCTAAACCCTAAACCCTAAACCCTAAACCCTAAACCGTTTAAAACCCTAAACCCTAAACCCTAAACCCTAACCCCTAAACCCTAAACCCTGCACCCAAAGGTCAAGTGGGACGACGCCGCCTGCGGGGCCTGCGGCGGGCAGGAAGTGGGAGAGGCGGGCGAGCAGCGTAGGGTTTAGAGTTCAGGGTTCAGGGCAACTTAGGGTTTAGGGCAACCTAGGGTTCAGGGTTTAGAGTTAGGGCAACCTAGGGTTTTAGTGTTTAGGGTTTAGGGTTGCACACGCATAAGCATCCCTCAAGGGGAAGGCTTTTAAGACCCCCGAATCCCTAAAACCCTGAAGCCCTGGGAGCCCCAACCCTACAGTAACACCCCGCCCAAAGCCCCCGACCCTGACGCCCAAAACCCAACCCGTGAACGCAAGCTCTAAACCATTCTAAACCCCAAACCCCACATCCTGAACGCACAAACCGCAGCCCTATATAAACCC